GAAAAATTAAAGACTTCTGAGGTGTAGATTTGATCAGTTTGGAGCTATTCTTTGCCTGATTTAATTTAACTTTCGTCTCTGGTAAAATTACAAATGTAAAAAAAAAAAAAAAAATGATAATCGGATTGTTTGGTAAAAATTGAAGAAAATTCAGAGACTTCTGAAGAGTAGATTTCATCAGTTTGAAGGTAAAGGAACGTAAAAAAAGAAGAGGAGATAATTATAAAGATTGAAACTTCCAGACAATCGTGTCTGATTAGAAAATATCGAAATTGCAATAAATCGTGATGAACGAAAATCGTGATAAATATCATGCAAAATCTCCGAATCTTTGCAACAACGGAACCTTACGTCCGGAAAATCGCTTTACTATGAACGAATTTGCTGAAAATTCACGTAGAATGCAGCGAGTCGTCGCATGGACCATTTTCCTCTTCGACTGATTAAATCGAAGCCGATCACGCTCGATTTATTACAAAATTCTCGACGATGAACCACCCTCGACGCACGAGGCGAGAGAAGTTAGGCGATCGCGCGGCAGAATCGCATAATCGTACCACGTTGCAAAATCAAAGTCGACCTCGGCTGCCGCATGATAATTATGAATATCTTATAAATATGAGAATGAAGTGATTGTAAGTCCAACGGTTGCCGAGAGGCGCGGAGAGGCCCTGAACATTGTGTTCTAAACTCCGTTATTCGCCTTTGGAGGCTCGCCACACGCGCGGCAACGCCTCTAAACCACTCATCGACGGCATCACGACGGTCAATCGAAACGTACGTGCACGCACACGTACACACACGCGGGCAAAATCACACATCGGTGTCGGTGCTCGTCGATCCACTATGTTAATCGTTCTAATTAAATTCCCTGTTTTGCCCATTTCAATCATCCGGTATGACTCTTGAGAAAAATCATGTTAATGCGCAAGATGCATTATGCATACCGATCGTATAAACATCGCACGGTAATTATCGTCTTGCAACATTTTTTCTTTTTTTTTCTACGTTTCCCCCTCCCCTATCCTTTCCAATTTATTCTTTTATCGAGACTGTGAATTTCAATTTGTTATTTACGCGAGTCTTTGTCGTCTGTTTACGAGATCATTATTTGAACGTCCCTTTGCTAAAAATTTGCGACGACTCGATCTTGATTATCGCTTGACATCAACAAGTGATTTGATCGAGTGAATGTAATTTGGAATTTTCACGGGACGAAACTCGTTTCGTTGTTTAACCGGTAGCTACTTGCATTTCTCGTAATGCATAATAGGTGTTACGTCGCCAGTAAGTCCGTGCAGAGTAACTAATAGCACTAGGGGGTACGATTTTAATGGAGAAATAATGATCGACCTTGGATGCATTTGTCACGCATCATTACGCGGCTTCACGGGCAAAAAACACCAGTCCCGTGCGAATATTTCAATCAATCGAGTCGAGTTCTATGTCAGAAATCTCCGTGTGAAATTAATTCTTCCGCCGTTTGAATTAAAAAAAAAAAAAAAAAAAAAAAAAAAAA